AACTTAACGTGCGTCCCTCGAAGTTAAGCTCGGAGGAATAAATAAAACAATTGTGTTTAATCAGAGCGTAATTTTGTGTTTTAGCTATAATTAGTTTTTAATTTAAAACGAAAATATGTTCTTTGATGGTCTCATAAGGTTAGCTTTATTAGAACAATTAGTAAATGGTCTTGAAAATAAACTTTATTTTTGTCCACAAACTCTTCTAAATTTTCAAATTGTTTGCGGGTTGTTTTTTTCTTCTTTTGTACATGCTCCATTGAAAGTGTTTGAGAAGATAGGTCAAGAACAATAACAAGCGAAATTGAAAGTGAATGCAATTTATAAACAAAGACAAGTATGGTAGTAGGTGGGCCAAATGGTCAAAACGTGCACATGTGGTGCATATGTTTTAGAAGCTTCGATGGTTTGATGTTAACTCTCTCTCTAACTAATAGACTATTCGTATAAGGGCACCCACTTTATGCATCCCATATTTTTTTCGTTTTTAACGTTTGATGGATAACTGGGTCGGAAACGCATACGTTGACTCGGAGATAGAGCTCATCTCGGTTGTGTTGCTGCGTTATCGAAAATGTTCTCCTGTTCGAACTGTTAAGTCGCCATAACGTGTGCCCGTTAAAAATAGCATTTATGATACAGCACAGGGCTGAATGTTTCTCACGCAAGCAATCGTCCGTATGTTAAGTGTGTAAGACCGAGGATTCAATTTCCGTAAAACATAATATTAAGGGCAGTCCGGTATTGGATTACCGTATTAACCACATTTCGTTTTGTTTTATCGGTTTTTGACAAAGTGACCCATACTTGAAACCAAACATTAATACGCGCGCCGTGGTCTTGGGAGACTCTCGCAAGACTCTTGCAAAAGTCTTGGTCTTGCAAGACCAAGTCCAAGACCAGTCTCATTCATCACCACTCCCGACTAACCTTTGGGAGGAAAATCAAGGCCATGCACAGGAAGCAGCAGAACGTGATGGCAACCGATACAAAGGCAAAGCTGGCGTCCTGTTGGCTGGAAATGACCATGGTGACCGGCACTGTGATCAGGCACATGATCACCACGTTGTAGATGGTGAGCGCCACATACTGTGAGTCGTTGATTTGCTTGATTTTGAGCGAGCGGGTCTCGTAGGCCAAAAATAACCCGAAGAGCTGACAAATAACGAATCACTCCTGCTTCGGATGGTTAAATCGTTCAACCACTCACCAAAACCAGGCCCTTGTAGGCGAAAATCACTGACAGCCACACATTGTTGTGGTGGCTTTCGCAGTGCTCGAGCTCGGGTCGTATTTTCGAGTCATCGGACTCTTCCAGCGGATCTTCAAGAGGAAATAGCTCCACGCGACGCTGCAACGGATCAATGACCTGCCAAGGGATCATAATGAACAGGTCGATGACTAGCAGGCCGGAAACCATGGAATAGAGCTTCCATGGCTGGACCTTTTTCTGGAACAGAACGTCCACCTGATCAGTAGGACTGGCTGATCTCGGTCAGTATGATTGAACACCTACCATCTTGACTTTGGGGTCGGTTTTGGCGCGCGTGCTTAAACGATGGACGCGCCACACTTTGCTAAACATCGCCCCGAATGACAGGGTGAAGCCGAGCGTGAGCAACCAAGCCCTCGACTGGCACACGCTCGGAAATCTTTCTGGAAACACAAAGCGTCCATCCAGACCCATCAGAAACACTGATGCCAGGCAGACGATGATGCCGAAGAGCATGATGGTGTTGCAGACCGGATGCGAGGACTGGATTACACTGCAAACGTCAAATTGTGCCCAAATCATTACTATGCCAGCATACAATAATGCCTATTCTAGAATTCAAAAGTCCAAACGCCCACTGGCGGCTAATTTATTAACTACACTTCATCTAGTAAAATTTGACACTTGTTTTGATCAGATGTCATTCTGATTTATTTTGCTTAGGTCTTCTCAGCTTTTGCAAGCCTTTGAACAGACAGCAACATATTGAAAAGTGGGTAAGTATTGTGTTATATTATAGACTTAAAGTTGGATTTATATACCCTGGAGTTAGTGCCGCTTTCCGTTCGTAGTTTGCAGTTGCCGCCGTTCGAGAAATAAACATACGAGCGCGCACGTATCAGTTTATACACCAGGCGTTGCTTGAATTGTCAAATTTTATTTCGCCGGCGACGTCGTTCGTGCAGTTGGCGATTTAACCAATGAGAGAAAAAGTTTCATATCACTTGAGTGACTGAGTCACTTTTTTGTGTCATTTGTCAAAACAAGGCCGTGTTTTGTTTATATTTCTGGCAAGATGGATGATCAAGTTATTTTCGTTGAGGAGCCAGACTTTAGCAGCTGATTAATAAGCGTATAATGAAAGTTTGTACAATTTAGGGCACATACACTGTAAAAGTGCCCAGTAAAAACGAGATGCGTGTGCTTAATTTGCGATCACGCTAAATACAATACATCTGGTATGATATCGAAATAGCATCAATCAAATCAAGCATGGTCCTTAAGTCGCTGTTCCTTCAATAGCAAATATGAAACTGAAATGAAAGTGAAAGCAAGTCGCTTGCGTCTAGGTCAAGACAATCTCGACATTTTGATATTAAAACGAAAAAAAATTGAATTAATGTGTGTATTATTGGGTCAACACAACAGACAGCATAACCAACATTAACTCATATGAGCATAAAATCTGTCAAACTGACCAATCGTCAGCAACTGCGAACTGCACAATATAAATCATGAAAACGCGAACGAAAACAGCAACGGTAACGCTATGGCAACTTCATGAACGTCGAACGCAACGAACTGCAGTGTTTATAAATCCAGCTTTAATTCACAGGGTGATTCACAACCTTATGGACACAGAGCAGGGGCGTCTAGAGGACTTCAAAACAAGTCGAGTTTCCATTTAAGTTTTTTCTCAGGCCCATGGTGAACGAGATACAGGGTGTTAAAGTTTAAAAAAAAAATTGGTATATTCTCTTTAACTCTTACAGTTTTGAGATATTTTGCTCAAATTTTTAACGTAGGCTAATGTTTAGATTATTTATCCGTAGGTAAGGCGACTGGTTTTGAAAATCTACAGGGTGTTCTTTTTTCTAGAGGCATCCCCCTTTAACCCCTTCGAACTTTTTTGTGGTGCACCACTGACTTCGACCGAACATTTTTCAATTTGTTGTTCAGTTGAAGCATTTTCTGATCTCTTGCAGTTTTTTCGTATGTGTCTTCGTTTTCGAGTTATTTGCACAAATATAAGTCCATGTAGGGTTTATCGGTGATTTTCCATAAATTTTCTTATAATTTTTTTGCGTCCATTCGTTCACATTTGTTTCGTGAAACAAATTAATTTCATAACAAATTTAAATATTCGTTACATTTATGTGTATTTTTATTTGGATTAGCTTACAGCCGATAAACCTCAATTATTGTAAATTACATTAAAGTAAAAAAAAGATGTGAACAAAGTGACACCAAAAAAAAATATAAAAAATTCATAGAAAATCACCCAGAAACACTACATACCCTTATATTTGTGCAAATAACTCGAAAACGAAGATAGATACGAAAAAACTGCAACGACAACGACAAATGCAAAAATGTGTTCGGTCGAAGTCAGTGGCGCACCACAAAAAAGTTCGTTGGGGAAGAAGGGGGTATGCCTTTCGAAAAAAGAACGCCTTGTAGATTTTCACAACCCGTCGTCTTACCTACGGGTATAGGGTCTAAAGATACGTTAAAAATTTGAGCAAAATATCTCATAAACTGTAGGAGTTAAAGAGAAAATACCAACATTAACACCCTGTATCTTGCCCGAGAAAAAAAACTTAAATGGAAACTCGATTTGTCTTGAGGTCCTCGACACGCCCCTGCCGTGTGTCCATAAGGTTGTGAATAATCCTGTACTGAGCTGTTCACTGTTGCCGACGTTAAAATTTGATTGGTTTAAAATTGACAAATCAGAACAGAGACCAGGGAGACTTTCCCTCATCACTGTCTATATGTGCTAGGTTGTGTGTTGTGTGTTGCCCAATAGTTCATTAATTCCAGTTTTTTTGGTTATTTGCCAACGGCATGGAAACGCAATAGCAACTACGAACTGCAGACAACGCCGGGTTTATAGATGATTACATGCGCGTCGGTATGTTTATTTTTCAAACGGTGGACTCGGCAAAATAGATAAATCGAGCTTTTATAAACCCTGCAGTTCGTTCCGTTAGTCGTCCGTAAAGTTACCAGACCGTTGCCGTTGCTGTTGTTCGCGTTTTCATAATTTATATTGTGCAGTTCGCAATTGCTGACGTTGGAATTTGATTGGCCAGATTGACAGATTGTATGCTCATATGATTTAATGTTGGTTATGTTATCTGTTGTGTTGACCCAATAATACAAAATTATTACATTTTTTTTTATCGTTTTAATATCAAAATGTCGATATTGTCTTGATCTAGACGCCAGCTACTTGCTTTTACTTTAATTTTAGCTTCCCATTTGCCATTGAAGGAAAAGCGTTTTTAGTTACACGCTTGAATTTCACCATCATACCAGATGTATTTAGCACGGTGCAAACTTTCATAATACGCTGTGTTAACAAGCAGCTAACGTCTGAGTCCTGAACGAAAATAACTTGATCTGCCATCTTGGCAGAAACAATCAAAACACGGCCTCGCTTTGACAAATGTTACTCACGTGATACGAAACTCTTTCCCTCATTGGTTGAATCGCCAACTGCACGAACGACGTCGCCCGCAAAATAAAATTAGGTTAATTTTACGGCATGGAAAGCTATTGGTATCTGCGCGGGCGCATGTTTATTTCTCGAACGGCGGCAACTGCGGACTTCGAACGACGAACGTCACCAATTGAAGAGTTTATAAATCTAGCTTTAAAGCAAGAACACCGTCACTTACCGCCTGTGCTTGTTCCAGATGTTGAAAATAATCAAGGCAGTGGCGATCACAATGCCCACAGTTGATATGGCGCACATGCAAATGAAGAGCAGCAACGACACTTTGCGCAGGGCCCGCTTAATGATGGTCCGGTCCTGCGGCACTTTTCCCCCTGCAGGTAAGTCCGACCCCCCAATTAATTCCAAGTTTACTGGATCGAGTTAATCCATGGTACAATGAATACAAGGTAGGATATTAGTCGGTCGAAAACTCGATTTTCGTGCGCACATGACGTCACTGGTTAGCCTTTGGTAAAGTGAACAGTAAAACGCAATAGTTCAAAACTGGACAGTTATATGAGGATATGGTTTGCAGTGTTGTATAGCTCAATGCTTTCAAAATCGTGTTTCGGACCTCATTTGGGCTTATTGCGAAGAAAAATACCCTAAAAAAGTATTTACAAAATCTCTGATTTTCAGCGTTTTAGCTTGCTGTGTTGCCAGAGTGTCATTCGTAGAATCGGGTAAAGCTAAACGAAACAATTAATTAATTATATTGTACCGTGGATGACCGAGTATCAAACTCTTTCTTCAGCTTCCAACTTTTATTTACCTCGGTATAAGTTTAAAGGCGGAACAGGAACAAACTAACTTCAAAATGACCGTCAACTTCACAAACAATAACAATAACAGACGGAAAACTCGCTCTTCCGACTCGCGGGGTCCAACCACTTCTGCACCCGGTCGCTCCTGTCACTCCCCCCGTCTGGTTCTCGTCGTCACTTATAGTTTCCTCCAGGTAACCCAGATGGTTCTCGAAATCTCCAGAACAGGTGCGAAACTTCCCGCTTGTCAATGTCATATTTGACAGTAAATGGGGCCCAAATGGGGCTCCCATTTACTGAAATACCATGAATTTCGATCCCCCATTCCAAA